GGATATTTCATTCACACCAGCATATGTTTATATAAGTCTCTGGGATTTCCTTGAAAATGTCACAACAGTAATAGAGTGATGGGAGTGAAATACTTTTGTGACAAACGCAATCGGTTCACAGAATTTTTTTTTTAAAAAAATAAAACTCTTGACAGTGCAATAAAGGTTGAAATCGACTAGTAATTCTTACAAGTCCGTGGTGTAAATTCTTTTTTTATTAATATTCTGGGTTTCATTGCCTCAACTGGTATGTTCTTTTAAAACATAATCTTTGCAAATCAGTCATAATATCAATCAAGTCTCTGTTCAAAATCTTTGGAGACCTGGGTCAGCAGTAAAAACAATGAATGTTCTCAATCTGTAGAATAACAAAGCAACTTTACAGGGTTCTGCAACATAAGGCCTTTTTAGGGATTGCTGGATATAATGCATATTATACCCATCACAGATCTTGCTGGCAAAGGCTGGTAGAATTTGAAGGTAACAATATCAGGAAAGCAACATATTCTTCATTTCTGCACCCAGAATTTAAACACTGGCATATTTAATAACAAAGTGAAAGGTAACAAAACAGAGCCATCTGCTCTTTTTACCAGATATTTGTGATTGGTCAGTACAATTTATGAAAAAGAACTGGATTATTGAACCACGAGCTTAATTTTTCGGAAATTAATCCTTGCGAATTTCATGAATCAGGGTACTACTAAGTGGACTTATGAATAGGCTGGCAGGTTTATTTTGAGTATCTCAGCTCTTTGTACCTTACTAGCACATTTGCTTTCAATTTCTTAGATACGGAGATAAACAACATGGAAGAATAAGCTATTTATTATGATTATGCAAAAGGAAAGTACATTTGTGACATTCTAATATGCCAATAAATTTGCCTGAATACTGTATCTCTTGCATTTTATAAAGAATCTAGGACTGCATTTTATATGCTAATGTAAAATATTTATACTTCCCAATGATTAAAGAAAACAGTTTTGGAATCAAATTCTCTAAAGAAATTAATCTTTCCAACAGAACAATTGGGTGAATAGTCCATAGTAGCAAAAGAAAACAGTCAAAAAGAAAATAATTATTATTTGAACTGCTTGTCTGTATTTGCCATGGCAGAATTGCCACTAACATGCCAAAGCAAAACCATAGGTTTAGAGATTTTAAAAATGAAGAGAGGGAGTAAGGGCCATATTTGGAATAACTCTGACAATCACAAAATATGAGATGACACAGCAGAAGTGTGCATGTTTCAGAAGAAAGCAGCTGTTTGCATAAAATATTAACTATTACCAGCACCGCAATAAAATTGCAAGAGGAAACAGATAAAGCCTCAAGATAATTTCTGCCATTACCTAGCATTTTACATCCATTGAAGAATTCCAAACATATAAAGGGATGTCAGTCTTTTTTCCCCCACGAAACAAAGTATTTAAAAAAAAAATAATGGTGAAGCTTCAAAGGCTGTCAGTGTTGAAGTCAGTCAATTATAGATCTGATTCACTTCTTAACCCCTTGAGGTATAAAGTAAGCTTTTTTTGCCCGGCAAACATTTTCAGTAGTCACTAGGATGAAAGACCTGAAGTTTGCACACTGATATTATAGTTATATCTATTTGGAGCACAAGATAACGACCGGAGTTGTAAAATTAGAACACAATATAATTAATTATAGAAATGGATGAGAAACTTAACAGATTTTCATTTTAAACTGGCATGGACTATAGCAAATGATAGTTCCTTCTTGATAAATCTCTAGCCAGTTACATTCTTTGTTTGATGGACTGATTTAAAATTTCAACATTTAAAATAAGGCCTTGGATGTTCACATATGCTCAGCCTTGAGAAGTACAAGAACTCAAAGTCTAGATCATACCAGGTGGAACATGTAAGAATTTAGAACACATTTGCACTCTGTTATCGCATAAATTAAAGAAAGCCATTTGTCTGTGTAGCTATCTCCATAAAACAGAAAATATCCTGATTTTTTTTTAAAAAAGTGAACTGAATCGTATACCGCCAGATTTACTGCATTAACAAGATGTGGCTAAAGTATAGCAAAAAGGAACAAACTGTACTTGATTGAAAATCTACTTGCTTTATAAGTTTACACTTTATTCAATAGAAGTCAAGGACATACGTTTCTAGGAGGCTAGAGAAATGTGAAAATTGTCTCCAAGCAAAGCAAGTGACCAAAACTTAGATTGTAAAGGCAAGAATCTTGAAAAGATTTCTAGGTCAGAGATTGGAAGCAGATAGATTTGATGAGTGATGTGCCAACAAGGGTTTTTCTCAATTATACAACACAAAATATTTTTTCCTACCTAAATTAGAACAATATAAATATCAGGAAAAAATGGGAGGAAATTTCCACCTTGGTTACACAAATGTGTATCATTCTGGAGTGATTATCAGTTTTAGGTTAAGTCATATGTGTGTGAATATTTTTTTTTTAAATCAGGTCACGTTCAGAAGGTATTTTCGCACTTGACTTGCACTTGGTTAGGCCTTAGTCTTATCTAAAGGAATAACGTGGATACTGAAACATGAAATCTGCCTATATCTAGGAGATATTCATTCTGGATTAATTACAAATCATGGAAAATTAAAGATTAAAGATGTATTACTGGATCTGAAGGCAGCAAATCTGAATACATATTTCAAAAGCTGCATTTAAACCAATTATTCTGAAATTATTCTTAATAATGTGAATGAACATAGTTTATCGTGCATCTTATTACCTATAATGCCATGTAGGGGTCTTAGAGGACAATGGAAACAAATGCACTTATTACTTTTTTTAAAAGGTGTTTCAAAAACCTTTCATATTCTTTTTCATTTCTCCCCTATCTATAACTGGATTGTACAATCTGAATTTATTGTTGAATTATGTTTGGACCATATGTAGTCAACATTAATCTTTAATGTTACAAGCTCATGAAAGATACCAATTGGACCTTTTTTTAAGGTCGTTGGTATTATTTGTTTTATGATATAACTAATAAAATGCATTAATATTGTTGTATGCATTGTTTATCTGCATGTTATATTCTTTTATGGTAGCCCTTTTTTAGCTTCTGTACTAAACAATTCAAGATGGTCTAGCAGATCATAGAAAATGCTTACTTTTTCATTTCTTTTCTTTTTCTCACTAAAAGCAAGCAGGAGGAAAATAGGTAAACCTCAATTATTTTAGTGGAATTTAATGCAAATTTTACATTTGGGTTTGCAGCTGAAAGTTATACATCCAGACTTCTACCATTCATGCAATTCTATGTTGAAATGTCACTCATTTATAACACACAAATTGGGCACAGAAGTATCAATTAACAAATATAAATAATACATAAATAAAAGGCATCAATAAGTAAAAATAATAATTTGGCAGCTTTTTTAATTAATGGCTTTACTTCAAAATTCAAAAGCTGAAAACAGTTATTTCTAATAGTGAATAGTTCTGACATCATCTGAAGAGTTCCCATTGAACATTTTTGCAAGGCTTATTTCTTTTTCTCCCTTCGCTCTAAGCAAACTGGTTTGCATACCAATAGGGTTAATAGGGCTGCAGAAAAAATGAACTTCATCTCTTCATAGCAGTAATAAGTATGTACTGATTTTTTTTTAATGGATGAAAAGCAAGGGCCTTCTGTACACATCCACCCTATTCCAATCCTCAGATGCCTTAGCAGACTATGGTCCACATACAGCACCTGCCTTTTGGGATATTGGCTATCTCTGTAGATTAATCTACAAGGAGCAAATAAATAACTGTTCATGTGATATGAACAAAATATCTACAAGTAACCCCAAAATAAAATCAGTGTGATTTGTCTCTGAGTAAAGAGAAACAGGACCACATTGTAGACAGAATATTTATTTTAAAAAGCTCCTTTTTGGTACTATATTGCCTGTGAGCAAAAAAAGGAGCATAAAATGGAACTCTTCCATTTTCCAAATCCATTTGTTGTTTATTTGCAAAAATACTAAAGAATTACTGGATGGCATTGTATGTGCAATGTCTTATTGCCACCATTTATCCTTTAGACATATTTCTGTTTTCATCCCAGCAGACAGGACTGGATCAGTTGTGTTTCCTTACTATGCTGCTTGAGTTATACTCATCCAAAATGGTATTCCAGTTGCACTTAAGAGATAAATCTTAATTTCCACCCCAAAGCCCAAGAAACAATTCTATGTTATCTTGCTCAAATTACTTAGAATTTTGGATTTGCTATTATAGAAAGAAGCATTTTCTATGGCAGCCTAGGTTCAGATACTGCTAAGAAAAATCATGCCTGGGTTTGCCTTTTGAATGATTACTATGTACTTGCTGTATTTGTGTATGTTGCCTATTTCACCTCCCGTTTTGTTGCTGTAAAACTACATCTAGCAATTCCACTGCTAGAACATTGGAATGTTATATTCCACCATAACTCTATGGAAGGCCTGTTTGGAATGAGGCCTGCAAATTTATAAAATTGAGAAAAGGGGGAAAAAAAGACATCCCTATGAATGTTGTTGCTCCTTAAAATTTTCAACAGTTAGTTCAGTTTCAGGGAAAATCACTTTAATAAGATCCAAGACCAGAAACAAAGCTGCCGAGAGTTTTGATTGGAATTGAGCCCTAGCACTTATTTAGAAAATGCCTTGAAAGAGGATTCTTTTTTTAAAAAAGAAAAAAAAATATTTAGTTTCATTATGGAAGGACCAAAATATGTGCTTGGAAGTCTGAGGATTGCAATTGCGGCAGCATCAAGAGCCTCTCTGATAAGATCTTCCTGGCCATTGTGCCTCTGGATAATAGCTGGCCAAATCACCATTTAGGATAACAGCCACTTAAATACTTTCAACTGTGCACATCAGTAACAACAACACTGGCACCCCACTTTTAAGAGGCAAGGCAAAGAGCCAGGAGCATCCTCCTCCTCGTGCACTGCCCACTCGGAGAACGAGCCAGGAGAAGAGGCATTTCCACGACTTTACAACAATCAGACTTCCTACCTTTCTTTCCTTGCAAAGAGAGATGGAAGAAATGTCCTGCTTTAAAGAAAGTTGTAGGGAAAAACCAGGCAGCAGTTGCAGTAAATTGAGTCCTTTCAGTCAGTGGATACCAGCGAGCGGAGTTCTGGGGGTGGGTGGGTGAGTGGAAAAATAGAATGGGAGGAGCAGCTGTGAACGAGTGACCTCCTGAAGCACAGCTTGCTTTGTGAAGCGAGCACTTGGGAGCCAGTGGCTCGCATTTGCATGGATTAGCTCCACTCCAAGAGAGAGAGATTTAAATATATCTGGCACAGTACCAAGAGATGGAAGGGAAAGATGGAAAGGAGGAAGGAAAGGGGGGGAGAGAGAAGGACAGAGGAAAATAAAAAGGAAGGAAGGAAGGAAGGAAGGAAGGAAGGAAGGAAGGAAGGAAGGAAGGAAGGAAGGAAGGATACATACATACATAAGTGCAGAAATTCAAGATCGGTGAGAGAAGCACATGCAAACTGAACAAGTGGAAGAACCATAGCTCCCTCTTCATGTCATCTTGTAAGATAGGAAATGCTGTCATTAAGAGTTATTGAATACAAGGAAAAGGGAGGAAAGCGAGTTACCCTTCTCCAAACCTTTAGCTTCATCAGAAAAAAAAAAAAACATGCAACAATTGGGAAACAATTTCTCAAACCTTTTGTCACTCACGGGGTGACCGGGGCTAATGGGACTTGAGTGTCAAACCTCTGGAGAGCACCAGGTTGCTTAACCCTGTGGAGGAATTCTTATCTAAAACTGTGTATTTAACCTGATAATCCCTGAAACAGCTAGGTAAAGGTGACTGTTCCAGTTTCTGTATTACAGGTGAATATTTAGTGGCAGCTTGCCAGATTGTCACTGAATCTCTATTTCCATACTCACTAACTGAGAGCGAGCCTGTCTGTGCTCAGCAGAGTTGTCTTTGGAGAAAATGTCTCAGCAATGGCATTTGTGTTAGTTGTAAGTTGCTTCAGCGTGGTTTTTCAATTAAGCCACACTTGGCTTGGTTCACACAATATGCTAACCAGTGATCCACGTGTTAGCTAAATAGTGTGTGGGAGTCCAGCCCAGCCATTGTATAGAAGAATTCGCTTCTGTTTTCTTCTGAAAATTAATCCATTTGTTGTTAAATAAGTGGGAGGTGTTAGAACAATTCTATATATTTCTTTAGCAGTAACATATAAAAGATCTGCCTCAGCGGATGGCTTAAATCATGGACGTCTTACTTCATAGGCTCAGTAAGCTTTCTGAGTAAATATGCACAGCATGGTACTAGTCATCTATAACAGGGAAGATAAAGTCAGAAACAAAATCCTATATCCAGTTAGGTTACAAGATCTGGGCTGCAAAACTCTGGAGAAACATTAGATGGTTCACACAACGAGCCTTGGTAGTACAGTGGTCTAAAGCACCCTGTTATTAACACAGCTGCCTGCAATTACTGCAGGTTCAAATCTTACCAGGCTCAAGGTTGACTCAGCCTTCCATCCTTTCTAAGGTAGGTTAAATGAGGACCCAGTTTGTGGGGGCAATAAGCTGACTTTGTATAAAATATACAAAAGTGTGAAGGCTATTGCTTAACGCATTGTAAGCCGCCCTGAGTCTCCGGAGAAGGGCGGCATATAAATCAAATTAAAAAAAAAAAAAAAAAAAGATGAGACCACAGAATTGAAGTTAGTATCACTTTGCCACCATCTGGTGGTCATCTGGATTTTTGCAGCCCAGATTTGGCAGCTGCACATCTAGAACTTGTGTGAGCTTTAGAGAGTGCTTTAGTCTGTTGAAGGTTCAAATGAATCCCTGAAGTAAAATAGATTTACCATTGAATCAAGAGGCTATGAAACACTTATTAGATTTGATGTGTTTTCTGTTGCTGTTATCGACAATTTGCAGCATTGTAACTTCACTTATGTATACGGTGACACATTAGGGGGGAAGTTAAGTAATACTCTTCAACATAGCTATTCATGTCAATGCGATTTTTGTGACCTTATTAAGTTATCTACCAGAGTTCTGTGGACATAGCAGAGAGTAGTTTCATTCACTTTCTTAGCTGTGGTGTCTGTTGTGTTAGTAGAAACTAAAGTTGGTCAGATGTTTTGTCTTACACCAAGTCTTACTTTTAAACTTTGCACAATGTGAGGAAGAGTTCTATTTTTAAATAATCAATAGGAAGATACTATGCATCCTGCCCAACCTGATGCCCACTGAGGTTAAAAGGGTCATTTCTAGGAAATGCCAAGTTTTTAACAGATTAACAGAGTTGGAAGAGACCTTGTAGGTCATCTAGTCCAACCCCCCGCCCACGCAGGAGACCCTACACTCATAATGGCCTATGAACCTATGGCACGCGTGGCAGAGGGGCATGCAGCGCCCTCTCTGTGGGCATGCGAGCTGTCGCCCCAATTCAGCTCCACCATGCATGCACATGCACCTCCTGCCGGCCAGATGGTCTTCAGGTCTCTGCTGCGCATGTGTGGGGGATGGGGCACATGCAGGGCACACATGCATGTGAGGGGCACATGCAGGGGGTGTGTGCACATGGCATTTAAGGGGGTCATACACACATGAGCATATTCACGCACACGCATGTGCTTTGAGTACTCGGTTCGGAAAAGGTTAGCCATCACTGCCCTAAACCATTTCTGACAAATGGCAGCCCAATCTCTTCTTGAAAGCCTCCAGTGATGAAGCTCCCACAACTTCCAAAGGCAAGCTGTTCCATTGGTTGATTGTTCTCACTGTCAGAAAATTTCTCCTCATTTCTAGGTTGAATCTCTCCTTGAATCTTCTCAGTTTCCATACCTTGTCTGCCTTCGGATGCCTTGGAAAATAGTTTGACACCTTCCTCTCTGTGGCAGCCTCTCAAATATTGGAACACTGCTATCATGTCTCCCCTGGTCCTTCTCTTCATAAGACTAGCCATGCCCAGTTCCTATAACCGTTCTTCATATGTTTTAGTCTCCAGTACCCTAATCATCCTGGTTGCTCTTCTCTGCACTTTTTCTAGAGTCTCGACATCTTTTTTGATAGTATGGTGACCAAAACTAGATGCAGTATTCTAGGTGTGGTCTAACTAAGGCTTTATAGAGTGATATTAGTACCTCACTTGATCTTGATTGTATCCGTCTGTTAATGCAATTTAGGATTGCATTGGCTTTTTTGGTTGCCACACACTGCTGGCTCATATTTAACTGGTTGTCCATTAAGACTCCAAGATCCCTCTCACAGTTACTGCTATTAAGCCTGGTTTCACCCAGTCTGTATGTGTACTTTTGGTTTTTCTTGCCTAAGTGTAAGACTTTACTTTTCTCTACATTGAATTTCATTTTGTTTGATAGGGCACAGTATTCAAGTCTGTCAAGATCCTTTTGGATCTTGAGCCTATCATCTAGGGCAGGAGTGTCAAATTCATGGCCTGCGGGCCAGATGTGCCATGCACTGGCCACACCCACCCCATTTTAGTGAAAGGGAAAAAAGTTGTGATACATCACGTGACGACAATGTGTCATCACGAGTTTGACACTCATTATAAGAGATGGCTGACTGAAGTCGTAGTAGTAGCAACTTTGGAAAATCAGCATCCAAATCTAAAGGCCATATCGATCTCTCATCCTTCAATAATCCAGCTTCCACCATTTTCTCTTTAGAAAGGCATTGGAGTGTAGCATAGTTCAGCTTGTGCAGAATCCATTTGGCAGAGACCTTTTCTTCAGATTGTTTCCATTTGAACCAGTTCTTACACATCCTCTGCAGCCTACAGTGCATCTCCTCCTCTGCTCTGGGAGCTACCTGTCACTGCATTAACCCCAATACCAATTCTGGCAATGAAACTCCAAGCTTTCTTCTTCCTTATTCTTTTACTTTGTTGTCAGGTGAGCACTGAAGAAAGTAGAGCAGGCTAGCTGCTACATCATCCAATGGAACAGAGAAGAGGAATCTTTAGATTTCATGTCATACCTTCAGTGGACTGTACTCAAGAGAATATATTTTCTCACGTGCCTTTTCTCCCTTTAAAGAGGGAAAAAAGGGTGGAGGCTTCAGGCTCAGGCAGACTTTCGTTCATTTTATTGCTGGAGTGCTAAAATAAGCATCCACACTTCCAAAGGTTCCAAATTTGGAGAATAAAATTCTATGCACATTCACATTCTTTCTTTTCCAAACACCTTATAAATAATTAGAAAAAATGGTATTAACCTAGAGCATCTATCCCCTCCGCTGTCATTTTTCTTCTGCTCACCTTGGCCAGAGGCATCTAACAAATGAGGACAAAGTGACAAAATGAGAATTGTAGAGTGTGACGCATGATCCATCTTTGGGTACTTGTGTCCAACATGAGGCAAATGCAAAAAGGCAGAACATGTGACATTGCATTGCATGCTTCATCGTTTTGACATCTTTATGGCTAGCTGTGGACACTTATGGCCTTGTCTATATTAATTTCAAAATTTTCTTTACATATAAATACACACATGCATTTCATATCTCCCTTAAATCTATCTCCTGTCTTGGAAATGTGGTCATAGTTTCTCACCTACAATGGGAAAATTCAGGGCATTGTAAAATTTGAAATGGAGACTGAGTGCCAACCTAGTTTTTAAAGCTGCTATTTATAATGGAAGGAAAACAGGAAACACAAAGGACCTTAATTTATATCATATGCTTCTACTTAGAGTAGAGAATGATTAGAGTATCAAATATTTGCAGGATAAGTATAATACGATCTCATGTTTTTAGTGATACATCGTCCATACCAGAAAAAGTTAACAGGTGCTGTTATAAAGTTCCATCATGAAGGAATATGAGTTCCTTAGAAATAATCACAGTGCTAAAAAAAAGTCACATCAGATAAATGACCGAATACACAGGGGAGTAAGTGAGAATATTTTAAATGTCATTATAATTATTCTGTGATTCAATAATTAGAAACTCTCTGTATCCTATAAACAATCTATGACTAATAAATATGCATTCAATTTTCTCAAGAAAGCAGAGAATGTAGGAGTGGAAACATATGATATCAAAGGCTGTAGGAAATGCCTCAAAACCTAATATACAATGTCTCTTAAATGCAAAAAACAGGGAGTTGTTTTGATCACCACATCAGGCAATATTACTGTGATCATACAGAATCAATCCATATGTTATACATTCTTTAATTTTTTTTCCTTTGAATTTTATATGTACTATTTTGAATTTTATATTTTACTATTTGATTGCTGCCTTGAGAATTCTTTTGGCGGACTGACAGTGTTACATTCACGGATAGTATAAGAAATATAAAAGGATAAATGTTAATTGCTTTAATTCATTTACATTGCAATACTAATATTTATTAAGAGTTCCATGGTCCTAAACTTTGGAACTCTCCAGTGGTCTCGCCAATGACAGGTAGAACATCTCTTTT